CCCCCTCCCCGTCCTTCCTCCTGTGTCGGTACCGCAACTCGAAGTTTGCAAAAAGATAAAAGATATGTTGATACCACTTGTAATCTTGACAGACGTCTCAAAGCGTATGTGTGCAAAGTTTGGTCTGCATCGATTTGAAAATGGGATTTTTCAGGACTTATTTTTTGGGACTATTCACACACGACACAAACAGACAAACAGACATCAGCTGTGTAGAGCTTCCACGTGAAGGACGAGTCGCCTTCGGTCATTGCTAATGCAGTACGCCACAAAACTTAGAAACCACTGAATCACAGCTTCAAGTGCTTAAAAGCCCATCTAATGGTTAAAAAGCGTTGAAAAGAAAAAAACTAAGAAACTTCTGCCGAATTGCGTGAACAGTGTGCGCGAACTCACCTACAATCATCAGCACGGCCCTATGCATGAAATATCTTACCGGACGGGCTTCAATCTCGACAGAGACTGGCATTTCTATAGGCGAATAATCGGCTGGCGAATAAGGGCTTGGCGAATAAGCGCCCGGGGAGTAACTTCCTCCTCCAGTTATATCTCCATAATCTGAGCTTCCAGAATAGGATGAAGAAGAAGAGCGGTTCGTGCCCTGAATACGACTCGGACAGGGGCAATAAAGCCCATCCATTCCATGCGGCCCTTCTCTTCCACAGACTCCATCAACTCCGTCAAGGCCAGGCAAACCCTTAACGTTCCCTCTTTTATCGTGTATCCCACTTTACTCGTTAGCACCGACTTCATTTCCTCTGGGACCTGGTGGTCCTGGCTTTCCTGGTGGTCCAAACTCTCCCGGTGATCCAGCCACACCTCTTGGACCCGGTGCTGAAAGAATGTTTACAATTTTTCGATTCATATTACTTATGTACCTCCAATGGCTCCTGGCAGCCCTGCAGAACCAGGTCTTCCTTTACTGCCTTGAATGCCATCGCTACCCTTGACTCCTCTCTGCCCTGGTGCACCTGATTTGCCTCGCTTTCCCATCTCACCCTGAGGACCGCAGGGTCCATGGCGTCCGGGAAGCCCTGGCGCACCTGGCGTGCCGCGTATACCTTTGTACCCAGGATAACCAGGAGGACCTTTCGGTCCAGAATGCCCTGGAGGACCTGGTGGACACGGAGGACAATGCTCTGGAGTAATAATAAACTCTGGAGTAGCGTAAGGTTGAGAAGGCGGCGAGTAGCCGTAAGCGGGTTCGCCATCATGACCAGGTATGCCTGGTGTACCAGGTTCACCGGGTTGCCTGTGATATTAAAATCAATGCAGGATGGGAATACGTTACCTCTTAGGATCTCACCCTTTCGGCCCTAGGGGACCCTTACTGCCGACAGGACACTTGTGGGACACTGGAAGCGGCTGTCGAATATCATAATCAGGAAGGGAACAGCAGCCTATGAAAGAAAGAGTTCTGACGAAATATGCCCTAGATCATTTTTTTACATTACATTTGAGCTTTGTGTACCCATATCCAAACTGTGGTGGCGTAAATGGGCGTTTGTAAGAGGATGTCGTAGGTGCAGGAGGAGAAGAAAACTGAAAGTGCGTTAGTTAGTCAATTAACAACAATGAGCAACTGAACCTCATATCCTCCACTTTCATAGTCATTGTACTGCTGCTGGCGATGGGGTGGGTAGTTTGACGTGGATGTACGCGGCGATTGCGTCCATCCATACTGTTCAGGGGGGCTGCCGGCACTTGCGTAGGATGGTGGACCTGAGTAAGATGGTGGAGAACTTGCAGGTGGTCCGGCCGATTCGGATGATTCATATGAAAACGTCTCAAAGGCATCTCCATTTGCTTCCTGAAAAATTGAGATTGTTTCTGTATCCATCAGCAGTGACGGACATTTTCGAAGCCCTTCATTTCGTAGCCTGACGCCTGCAAAAGTATGCTCATCTACGCGTAACATGTTCGGAAAATGTGAACTTCACCTCAGCTGCTGTACTTCTAGCATTCCTCCACCAAGACAGGCTATGATCCTGCTCCATATCCATTACATCCTTCCAAATTCCTTCCACCATCAACTAAACAACCTCGTTTGGACCTTCTTTACCCAGTTTCTCCGCGTGATCCCTCTACAAGAAGTGACTTACCGTAGTATCGTGAAATTGTCTGCTGACGGACAGGTCTACATCATTTATAGTTAGAAACAACAGTGGGACACCAATTAGCATAGAAGTGAACGCAAATAGAGACAAGCCAAGGCTAATTGAGCCAAGACGACTCAATTCTTTCACACTTACTGTTGTCATGAGTGCTTGTCTCAGTGATGATCCATTAGAAATAAATCTGCCATAGAGTATTTAGTGGATTTGCAGTAGATTGCTGACGCATTCGATTGTGAATTGTGACTTGACCTGGCTTCATAGCTTTTATATAATCGTATGGAGGTGAATTGTTAGAAATTGTATGACTGCGACGGAGACATCGTTTCGACTCACTTTTCATTGGCGAATTGTAGAAAAAGCAGAAGAGACGGATGTGCTGCTTGAGTTTAGCATAATAATCTCATTGTCGACATATAGTTTTCCATTGAAATCTGGAAACGTGAGCCAATTATTATTGTGAGCCTGTGCGAAGAAAAAACCTTCGCGTCATTATGCTTGCCCTACTATTTGCGAGATTTATGTCAAAATTTAAGTTTTTCACTAAGGTAGCAATGTGAAGCCAGTTTCGCAATCTATAAACTTCAATATATTGAATCTTTTGAAGTGAATTGAAAGATTTAATTTTGTGGATGTTCTATGCTAATTCATCCTTATTCACTTTCAATGGTTAATAAATAAATCTTATGAAGGAAAAGTGTTACTTTTATTGAAATTCCGGTGCTTGAGCTCCAG